AAGACGGATCACTCTTCACCACGACAATGCGAGCTCTCACACATCGGCTCAAACAACTGCATTTTTGGCGATGGCGAGATGGCGCTGTCGGCAAGGAGGGATGTCCTCTCGGGCCAAGGCATTTAGATGCCAAACTTAATGTTTCCAAGAGTGTACATTTTTTGACATTTTCTCAATTCTTCGCTTTCTACACACTGGTCTACAGCATTTTTGTAACAAACAAGCTGAATGGTAATCAAAACTAAGACTTGGACCGTGATTTTGAATATGAAATCAGATTTTGCCTATCAGTCTAAGTTTTCTTGTTACATGCTACTCCCTATTTACGGAAGTGCTTGAAAATGCTGCATATTGGTTCTTTTGCTGTAGCTTCATTTAATTTATCTGCATATCTAATTGATCAAGAACGATCGAAAAGTGGACAAGGAATTCCTGTATATAGGGGGCCGCCAATAAATTAAACGTAAATGTGGAGTATGTTGAATACCCTCTCTCCCCTTGTAACATGTTGATTTGTAGTACATTAATAAAATATATATTACTCATTTTCTTCTATAGATATTATTTTTTAAGTCTCACCAGTATTTTGTTTAATTCATATTAAATTTTATTTCTTATAAAATACTATACTTCTCTCTGTTGGATTAACATTTATCATTTGACACATTTAACATATTTCACTTTCAATACATATCAGTTGCTAAGAGTCTCATTTTCTTTTTTTGAAACAAATGAGATTTAAAATGTATATAAATAATGTACATCATACAATAAAGTAACGTATCTCCCCCTGAATTTTAATTGATATTTGAACTAGAACTAAACTATTTTCCAAATATACAACAATTTAGTACTTTACATTGCCTTTGTTAAAAAAATCAGCATTCACATCTGATGAAATAAGATTCAAATCAATATTGATTTCTTCAGCGGTTTCTTTAACAGAAGAATTCTCTATTTAAATATTTAGTTTTAGCTTTGACATTTTTGTCTTTAATTATTGATATAACATTGCTACTGTCTGTATAAATTCTCAAATTCTCTTTCATTTTTAATTCTAATTCTTTTAAAATTTCATAAAACCGAACACTGTGATACAGTGCTTCCAGTTTACTTTCTGCTGTAGATAAAGTCACTGTTGCTTGCACTTTACATTTCCAATTAATAAGGTCACCCTCTTTTTCAATAATAAATCCTGTTTATGACTTAGTGTCAACACTTTTGTCCCAGTTTTCATCAGAAAAAGCTTCTAAACAATTCATTTTAATCGCCACGCTACGGCAATTGACGTTTAAATGTAATTAAAATAATTTTAATGGAATTTGAGTACGAGTTTTAGGGCCATTGATAAATAGTGGCTGACGGAAAAGGAGCCGTTAAATACTTAAACTTATATAATATCTCCAAAAATTCGAGATCGCAGTGGATCCCGGCTCGACAAAAGTTTTTCTACTATCTAAAATAATCTCTTTGGTTCTATTTTCAACAACTTTGAATATTACAACCGTTGACACACATGCAATTCCTCAAAATACCCATTTACCATTACTGCTTTACTTCAATTACACTTCTTGCCGAACTTTCAATAATTTAAATAATAATTCCTTCTCAACCCAAATGTACGCTTTCACTCTCCAATATAAATACGAATACGTACGTAATAAAACACTTCCCTGCAAGTTCATCCATCCTTCACAGTTTCAGCATAACACGTAAATCATTCTTAATATGATTTCGTTCGCACTGTCTCTCGGGCAACTCGCAAATACATAATAATCATACTTAATTTACTACAACTACACATGTGTGCACTCATTCTTTTTTACGACAATATTAAGCACATCCATCCGAAATGATTTCTTCCAATAATTTCACATCCCTTAATACATTCGAGCTGAGAGAAAATTAAAATGAATATCCAAGTTTTTATAAATGAAACGGAGAAAAACTCAGAATCATTTTAGATTAGACAATTGACAGTGAAAAGAAACAGTCTTCTCCTAGAAACACGCAATTCTATGCATTGAGAAAATCAATCGTAGATCTGAGTCGTCCTTCGGTGGTGGGCAGCTAAACTACTGAACATTGATGAAGATCTACTCTTGAATCTATGATATAAAGATGGGCGAAAAAAGGCAACAAAAGTAATTATTTTGTAAAAATATAAATGTTTATCGTTGTAAATAATATACTGTAGTTCTCCTGACCTACAAAGGAAGCTAGCACAAAAGTTTCATCGATATTGGTTCAGTATATTCAGAAATTATCGCGCTGTAACTCAAAGCACTTCTCTTTATATTATATGCTGTGCAATGTATTAGTAGGTATACAGTAGGCATTATTATTATTATTATTATTGTTATTATTATTATTATTATTATTATTATTATTATTATTATAGAAAATAGTTTGATTAAGAATTGATATGGAAATACCAAGGAAAAACTTATTTATTTTAGAAAATACATGTATGAAGTCACAATAAGAATGACATACAAGTTTTAATTAAGTGCAATGTCTTCAGTGCTCAGCAGGTACCCAGGCTTTTCTTTTGGATTTCTTTGGGCGTTGGATAAATCACTGAGCAACTACCATTTCATTTTATGGGTAGTAACAAGCACTCGTCGACCACTCTTTGGCGCATTACATATAGACCTAGCTTGATCAAATTTGTTGCACAACCTGTAAATTGATAGTCTACTTGGGGGATGTGTATTGAATTATTTTATTTCCGTCGAACCTGTTCAGTATTCTCTGTCTTTCAATATTGTTTAATTATCTACTTCCGTTAGTCATTGCCAAAATTACCAGCAATGATTATCTGAAAGAATAGAAAAACTGTCTTAGAACAGATAAAAATATAGTATTCGTTCGTTATATCTACTCATTCTTATGCATCCCCATGTATAGACATAGATTTGAGATAAAGTGTATGCACCAAAATTCCCAAGGCTTTTTTTCAGTGTTATCTTCTGCGTTATAATGAATCCTGGTGCTTCTGACTCATTTTCTTATATACCTAATCAAGTCACTATTGAATCATATATCGCAAATCGTATCTCTGTTTGCACCCAGACAACAGTCGTCTAGAGCGAGCAATAAACCGGCTTTTACAAAACGCAAAAGTCGGTGGAAGCGTCATGTGGCTCAGCCAATGTTGTGATCACTTCATTCACAAGAGGGAACACTGAAGATACTCGTATTTCGACGCACCCATCTCATGTTGTCCAAACACGCACTATGCACTCTAGTAGCTATGGGGCGGGGGCGGGGCGCGGCGCGGTCGCCGTCAGAAGCGACTGGCCGTGACGTTGTAACGCCAGGCGTGCGGCGGCAGCGGCTCTGGGTCCCGGGCGGCGGCTGCTGTGGAGAGCGTGACCACGTTGATGCTGCCCCGGTCCACCTTGGCTCCGTTGGCCGTCGCCCTCGCCCCGCCCTCGCCCCGTCAGAAGAGGTCTCTCTGCCGCTCCTGCGCGCGTCGCTTCAGCAGCACGGCACACGCCACCAGCAGCGCCAGCAGCGCCACCACGAAGCCCACCAGCGTGTAGGTGGCGCTCCGGAAGGGCTGCACTGGGTCTGCAACACCCCGTCGAACACTCCCTCGTAATCTAATAGAAGGCACACTCTTGTCATACAAATCTTTTAAACCTCATCTGGGCAACCGGGATCCATTGGACCCAGAAGCAACATTTTTAATATTTTACGTGAAAATTATACAAGGTGTTAGGATATATTTTTGTGACTTAATTTGCTAAAGTGTTTTTTTTAAATGTTCCCACAATCATTTCACAAAAGCGTTACTGAATAATAAATAAAAAGAAGGGTTGGACTTGGGTCTCAATTTGCGTGTAATATTGAATTTTATGGTTTGGTTTGATCGATTACTTGACGACTGCTTCGTGCACAAGGGATGGACGGATGTAGGGTTGCAGTCGAATTAGGAGAGTAAGGTTTTGAAGTCGTGTGGGGTCCAGGTTTGCAGGAAAACTGCACAGAGATAGGAATGTTGCTAATCCTGACTAAATGTTAGAAACCATGGTATCATACTATTTTTTATTGTTGATAGTGCCAAGAATTTGGTTCGTGCACTAAAGGTAAGAAGACAGTCAAAGAGGATTGAATAAGAAGTATCGCCTGCCAATCACACACGTTTTCAGGAAAGAGGGAGCTTCCACAAGTCAAAAAATTTATAACAATGCGAAAAAAGACGCCATTTGTGCCCTTGGGAAGAAATAACAAAGATATGTAGCATCTGTTCAAACTTGTCTTTAATGAGCATAACCAGGGTGAAAGTGTATGCGATTTGTTGGTTGTCCGGAAAACTGAAATCACTGTAATTTGCCGAACCAATATTATGGAGAATTCCAACAAACCATTTTAATGCCTGCATATTATTGCCCGAATATGCGTATTCCATTTGTAACTAGTTCTTACCTCATATGAAGCATGCTCATAAACGTTTATAGTAATATAACGGAGTTACAATACGGGAATTAGTATAGGATTTTGTTTATTTCAAAAACTAAATATGTTAATATATTTTGAACCTTGCGTGATAGAAACTTTTGTATAATTAGTTTGAAAATAAGCTTGATCTTTTTCTTTGAAATCACCCACTTTCAGCTGGAGGTACCATTTTTTATTTTTTTTATTTTTTTTTGTTTTCCCAGTGTAATTAAATGAAATATTTTTGACCTCAATATTTGACCTAAATTTCATGCGATACTAATTAAATATTGTTGTCCTGATATGAAAAGAACATCGATTGCTAATTATTTGGGGATCTATATTGATTGTAATTTTAAATGGAGTCATCAAATTCAACAAATTGTAAAAAAGTTTAGATACTTGATTTATATCTATTATAAGTTGAGAACTATACTCAATACTAAGCAATTGATGTCTATATACTATGCATTGTTTTGGTCCATAGCAACCTTTGGTATTGTAGCATGGGGTGGAGCCTACGTAATAATATGAAAGCGTTAATTGATATACAGAAACGAATTATAAAGATCATTTATAATAAAAGCAAGCTATTTCCATCGGAAATAATATTAAGAGAAAATAAAATAATCAGCGTGAAGAAATTTTATATAGAAGAATCGTTATTAACAAACTTTGAGTCTATGTATAATGATTATAAAACTATTACAGCGACAAAGACGAACACAGATATCATTCCGAAAAAAAATCGTAAAGAAATTAGTAAACGTCGGCATTATTATATTTGTTACAAAATATTCAACGCGTTGAGTACAGAACTTAAAAATTGTGATGTTAATACACGAGGACAACGAAAGCGTATCAGATCCTGGATTATTGATTTGAATGATTCAGTAATTCAATCATTCTATCAACCCATGCAGTGACTAAGGAATAATGTCTGAATATGTCTCAAATGATATTATATTTTATATAATTTTTCATTTTATAATTTTCATTTTCTTTAATTTTGTTTTTTCTTCAAAAATTGATTAATGAAACAGGTAGACATATATGATACATGATTAGTCATTGCAGGTTCGCGCACAAGACTATGTCTTCTGCGAAATAATGTCAACATTATTTGTACTTTGTTACAACCTGTAAATATATAAATAAATAGATTTGGCTTCGTTAACAAGTTAGATGTTTTCTATTTGTGTGAGGAGGCAGATCGCTAGAAATTAAAGATTAAATAATATTAGTAGTATAAATCAATGTGCACACTGATCTCAGTTTAGCAAGACAAATTTGAGCTGTTGGAATGTGAAGCAACTGAGTAGTTGTGAAAGGTAAAGCATGGTAAAGGATTCACAATGTTTACCATTTAATATACTTCTATGGCTAATTGTTGTAAAGATGGATTTTAAGAAATCTTAAGTGTGAGATAAAATTAATTTTCTTAGATTGAATGTTGTCTGTTGGAATTAAAGATAGATTTGATGAATGGCATTAATAGCATTTGTATATATTGCCTATTTCACATTTCTTACTCAGTGGAAAATTTTTGTTTTTTTTATTTAAAGGGCATGTAATGGTTATTGAATAATTTTCATTTTTGTTTTATGTGGCGTATGTTAAATGTTTGCTTTTTTTTGTTATTTTAGGGTCAATGGTATTGTCATCATGTATTTTTTTGCAACGCAATTGTCCAAGTATACATTTTTTCTGTTGTCACGACTTTTTGTTTTTTGTTTTTTTTTGTAATCTTCATTGAGCCTCATGCTCACGAGCAATCCCTAACCGAGATTCTGATCGGTTACTATATGTTTAATCTGTTATCAATGCATTAATCTGTAATAATTATCGATAATATAAAACCATTTATCAAAACTATTCGCTTTATGTATGCATTGATAGGCCCTACAGAATACTATTTGATTTCATTTTCAAACAAATTTCTGGAAAAAATGTGGGGAAGATTTCTATGACCTTTACTGTTGAGGCTGCGCAATATTGTTTAGACGATTGGGAGAGCATTTGCAAAAACTACGACAAGAAGTTCTGTGCATCGCCTTTCTGTGTTATCGTCAGACGAGAAAATTTTGAAAAGACGACACAATTGATAAGCTTAACACCTTGCCGTAAGATGCATTTAAGTGTTGAAGAGATTGTCATGGATATGTTTGTCTGGACAAAAATAAACGTTCTCCTTCCGTTATTCATTCTTTCTGCGGTTTTTGCCGCAGTTTGGTGCGATCTACTTGTCACTTTTGGAAGCAGCTGAAGGTCTATTTCAAAGAGTTTCGACTTTTTGTCTCTTGTGAGAGAGTTCTCGAGTTGTTGGGCCAAATTATGGGCCAATTTCAAACGCGAGAAGTTTGAAACGTTTCATCTCAAATACTTCAAAGAGTTGCCAAACTGAGTAAACGCCAAGCGTGACGCCAAATTGGTGTTAATTTGGCCGTCAGTACGCCAAAATTAACATTTTTAGACATTAGCATGCAAATTATTACTTGCTGTACATTTTATTAGATTTTGGAAGATGTGTATTCTTTTTCACGCACATAAAACTCATACAGTAATACGTTATCATTTCAATATCGCGAAAATTGTTCGCAATATTTGTTCCAATTATCCCTTTTTCTTTTTTCGCTATTCAATAATTAAAAATAAATATAAATGTATGAAAATTGAACTGTATGATTAATAATTTGAGAGATGGTCCCCTTTCAATTTCCCAAAATAATTTTCCAGTAGTTTTGGGAACCGCCACATCAGACGCCGTGTCAAGGGAGCGAGGGCAATACCCCTGAGGACAGCGTTCTGGCGCCGGCTAAATCATCGCCATCTACTGATAAGCCTCTCGAATGTTATTGTCTAGAAATCGAAAGTACTAGCTCAAATTTTTAATGCGAATTTGGCACCTGCCCATATTTCCTTGGCATCTAATACTTGTTCGGCCTCATATTTCCCATAAGTGGCGGCCGGCACGGAATTCAATTGATGGTGCCGGTTAGTGATATGACATCGATAACAATACTTCGATGTTCAAAATTATAACATCGATGTTAATAAAACATCAACGCAAAGTCATGAAACTGGTTTAGTAATTCCTAAATTAAAATTCGTGAGCCACAAAATTAATTTTACAGTGACCATGTTCGTTCAGTTATAATGAAGATTAAACTGAAAACAAACAAGAAATAATATGAACAATAACAAAAATACTCAGCCTGAAAGACTGAGCGCCCACGATAATCTCACGAGGTCACAGCTTCCTGTGTTCGCTGTAGAAAGATACGGGAAGAAAAGGGGAAAGCCTTACGTTCACGTCTTACGCATTCTCTGCAAGTGTGAATCACAAGGAAAGACGTGCGATATGCCAGAGCATTTGGTCATCCTGAGTGAGAGATAGTCTCCTCGATGAAAATAGGGCCATTGGTTCACTCTATAGTATAGAACGTGAACTACTGTGGCAATTCGATTTTGGCACCGTCTCGACCATAAGAGACGAATAGAAACCTACACAACGTTCTTCATACATCATAAAATGTGCATATGCTGTGCCAACCCATAGGTGGCTCAGAGGTTCAGGAGGAGGCCTACAGATAGCACCACGCCCTGTGCGTTTGAAGAAAGTATTGATAGAGCATTGAAGGACTAAGCGCTCATTCAAATGAATTACTATATTGAAAAAAAATATTGATATTTTATACACATATTTATGATGAAAAATTTATTTTTCTTCGTTTTTGCTAGTGGTGTTTTTTTATTATGAGTATTTTTGAGATAATCTGGCGACAAACACCGTCGCCCGCTCAGAATTTGCTGCGCTTCGTGAACGTAATAGAGGTAATTCTAAGCAGATGGATGCTACTTAAGTTAGATTTCAATATTTTTTCACTTTTTTTGTTCGTTTCTTCCATTCGAACTTTTGTTGTACGTTTTAAAATTAATTTTTTAGTAATTATTTAAAACCTGTTTAAATTGCGTCATTTAATTGTGTTAAATGTGAAAAGGAAGATATGATTTTGCTTTGCATAATAAGATGTGGGAAAGAAGCGTAATGCGTGTAAAAATACTAATTTTGATGAATATAAAAATGTTATACTTAATTATTATATTTTTCTATCCATTTTCATTTTCTTGCTACTGGTATCAACACTGCTAATTTGCAAA